AGCACTGACTCCCGACTGTCCCCACACAATGAAAACAGTTGGTCTCCCCTGGCTTGACTGTGGATGGGTGGCCTCTGGTTTCTTGGCAGAGGGCCTGTGTGACTCTGACAGGTGTCCTTTCTGCTCCTAGAGCTACGTGCCCAGCGTGAAGCCTCACAAGTGAGAGGAGGTGGTCGGTGCGGTTCTCAGGGCAAGTTGGCTGGCCAGTCTCCCATGGCGGGCTCTGCTTTGTCCTTCTTGGCTGGTCCACGGGCGGAGAGTAGCCCAGAGGTGGTGTGGTCATGCACCTCCCCCTGGTCAGTGCAGACAGTCACCCAAGGGTCCAGAGGATGCAGATGGCACAGCAGGTGCCCAGGGCCAGCTGGAGGTCTGGGAGGCAGGCCCCTGGGTAGACAAGCAGACTCTGCAGGACAGCGATGATCCACAGCCGGGTCCAGGGTCTAGCCCCGCCAATCACTCACACGCAGCAGCGTGACTCATAGTTGGTCTGAAACTCCAGTAAAGGAACCAAATGCGCAGCTCCCCAGTCCTGGTCTGTCTCATAGAGTGGCACGTTTAATCAACCTCTACCCTGGGCGGGCACTGGGCTATGACTCACAGCCCTCACCCAGGCAGAGCAGCCACCACCGGCTGCAGCAACAGGGCCTGCTCTCACCTCCAGCCCAACACACACTCCCTTCCTCAGCCCCTGCTCTGCTCGCCTGACCAGCAAACAGCTTCTTTGTTAGAGTCACCCGTGGCAGAGAGGGAGGGAAGGAGGGAGGCAGAGCGGGTGGGCGGGCAGAGCAGGGCCCTATACATGCTTCAAGTTACAGGATCTGGGTGATGGTCCCGGCCAACGTCCTCCAGTAACCCCCAGCTGAGCCTGGCCTCCCCAGCAGATGTTTCCTGCAATGGAAAGTTGCTGGCCAGGGCTCCACATGGAGGCGTGGAGTAGGGAGGGGAGGCAGCAGGGCACCGCTGTTAGGATGAAATCTGAAATGTGAGACTCAAGTCGCCAGGGACTTCCTGGAGACACTCTCACACCTCACCAACCCATCCATCCACCAACTTCCCCATAGCAGCAGTAGCAGCCTGGGGATTTTGCTGACCCAGTTTCAGACATGCTGGTGGCGGAGAAGCTGACATCAACAGCTTCGGGATCTGTCTGAGGCACCCTCTTCCTTCCCATGGACCCTGCACAACCTCCAGCATTAGCAAGAGGGGGATCAAGCCCAAAAACATTGTCAGATCTTAAGGGCAAAGTAGCAATACTAAAAGCACAGATTTTGGTGCTCAAAGCAGCAAAATCGAGGGGAATGAAAGCCAGGCCAATGGGGCAAGAAAGGCCCCAGACCAAGAAGCTAGGGACAGGGATGAGACAGCAGTGGGGCTGGGAAGATGTGGATTCCTAGGAAAAGTCAGACCCTTGAAACAAATGGGGCCGCCCCCTCACCTTTCCCAGCTCGACCACCTTGCCAGGAGGGTCTTGGCCTGCACAGGATGAGGAATGGTGCTTTTGTCTTAGGAGTCTTGGTAATTTAATACAGCAGCCCCCAAACTTTACTTAAAAATGGCCCAGTGAACACATTTAAAAGTATAGATTCCAGGCTGGGCACGGTGGCTCATGCCTGTAATCCCAGCACTTTGGGAGGCCAACGAGGGCCAATCACTTGAGGTCAGGAGTGTGAGACCAGCGTGGCCAACATGGTGAAACCCCGTCTCCACTACAAATATATATATATAAAAAAGATAAATTAGCCATATATGGTGGCAGGTGACGGTAATCCCAGCTACTCAGGAGGCTGAGGCATATAATCGCTCGAACCTCGGAGGTGGAGGTTGCAGTGAGCCGAGATCGCACCACTGCACTCCAGTCTGGGCGGCAGAGAGAGACTCTCAAAAGAAAAAATAAGTAGATTCCAAAGATGCTAATTCAGAGGAACCTGGATTCTCCCAGGTAAACAGTGTTGGAGAAAGTAGAAGAGTCTGACTCCTCCCGCAAACGCTCCCCTAACAAACTCCTACAGTCCTCTCTAGACGGACACCCCATGGATGCAGACGCGGCTCTCCATTCGTGGTGTAGCATGTGTCACTCTAACAGAAGGACGCCTTCTCCAGGGAGGATCTATGCCTCAAACAGGTTGATTGCTTCTCCTGCACTTGCCATGATGTGTTGCAAATACAGGCTGAGCATCCCTAATCTGAAAATGTGAAACCTCTCGAGCCCCAACATGATGCCGCAAGCAGAAGGCTCCACAGCTGACCTCACGTGACAGGCTGCTCAGGTGACACGTCCCGGCCAAAACACAGTCAGCACTTTTCTTGGTGCATAAAATTATTTAAAATATTATACAAAATTATCCTCAGGCTATATGTATAAGTGATATAGGAAATAAATCTGGTGTTTAGACTTGGGATCCAAGATATCTCATTTTATATATATATGTGTGTGTGTGTGTGTGTATATGTGTGTATATATATGTAAATATTCCAAAATCAAAAACAAATCACAAATCCAAAACACATCTGATCCCAAAAATTTTGGATAAGGGATACTGTATCAGGTGCTAAGAAAGTATTTACCAAGTGAATGCATTCCTCATCTACCTCTCAAAGGATGCCTGTTGACACTGCATCTTACATGTACACACAAAGATCCCTGATTCCATATGTTTGGCGTGTCAGTGCCTGGTCGCTGCCAACACTCTCTCCAGCACACGTGCGAGCTTCTCTTCGCCCTGCATGTCAGCCCTATCCTGAGCAGTGTGGCAGGCAAACGTAGCAAGTCCATTTTCCAAGGTGATCAGTATGCCTCCCTTGGGGTGACACCAGACCCCAGTATGTAAGCTGTAGGTAGCTCCAAGAGACTCTGGATCCTTACAGTAACTACCCGAAAACATCTGAGTATTGCTACAGGCCAAGTGGCTGCCTGGGCTATAAGGGGTGAGATACAGACAGCAAACGCCCTGTGAGATAAAGCCCTGGGAGATGAGCCCCCTATGCAGAAGCCTTTGTCTCCCCTACACCCACACCAAGGGCTGGGCAGGGCTGGGTGAGAGTCAGCAGAGAAGGAATTGACCCTGGGCTAAACATTAACTCTACGGCAAACATCAGGAGCCGGGACCAAGTGGTACCCTCTTCCCAGGGACGGCGAGAAGGAGGGGGTGGAGGAGTCCAGGAGAAAACAGATGGACTTCAGTGGAGCATTGATCTCACCTAGGAAGAAACCAGTTAAGATCCACACAGGAAACTCTGACCTTGCAGCCAAATCTGGATAGGCAGAAGCCAGATGTGGGACTGGAGACAAGGAGGTAACTGAGCAAAGGAGGGAAAAGGAGACTGAGGCAGACATGGGGGCTATGCAGAAGGGTAGAGAAGGGGTAGGGCTGGGCTGGGCTGGGGGCTCATCTGAAAAACTCAGGATGGGAGCCAGGAAGACCCTTCAAGTTGGGAGTAAATACAGAGGGGAGACAGACAGAGGTGGAGGAGCATCGTCAGTCCTGGGGCAAGGCCAGGTGCCAGACAGGTCTCCTACCCTCTCCACTGCCCACCCCCAACACCCTGAATTCCATTCCTACAAACCTTTGTTTTTTTGCTCTCTCGCTTATGCCAGCCGCTCCCCAGGCTTGGCACTATCCCTCCCTCTCCTCCACAAAGCTGCAGCCCTAACTGCAGGTGCTTCAGGCAAGCAGGGTGCTAAGCCGCAGGCGACTGCCAGGGTGTGGGCTCCTGTGCTCTGATCTCAGAAATGCTCCTTCCTGGGCTGCCATAGAGACGACTCCCCGCAGGAATGCACCAGGAGGCCAAGGAAAGAAGCCCCAGGGAACTTATGCCCCGTTGGGGGCTGAGAGGGAGTAAATTTCACCCCTCCTGCCCCAACGGCCCTAGCCAGGTTGCCCCTCAACTCTGCCCTTGGCTCCCTGCTGAAGGCAAAATCCTATTTCTGCTTTTCCCTCCATCTCATGTCTACAGGGACAGCTCCCTTGATTGGAGGGCCCTGATGAATAAGACTGGGGTGGTAGACTGGAGCATTGGGGATAAGGAGGAGTACATATAATCAGGCCTGGGAGGACTCAGGGTACCTGTAGATGGCACAGCCTTCAAACCCCACTCTGCACCTGACACTCTCCTGCCACGGCCTCTCCCCGTGTCCCTGGGGTCCAGCCACTTGCCTCCGCGTGACTCACTCTTTAGACCAAGCATGTTTGTCATCATGGCAATGGCTCCTCTCTGGCTAGCCATGTAAAAGGCAATGCTTTTGTCTTGTGCAGAGAGGCAGCAGGTGAAGGGGGAGGCTGGGCATGGGCTGGATGGTGGCTGGGCTTCCCTTCCTGCCAGACCCAGGCTGCTCCAGCGGGCCTGAATGCTCTTGCCACTATCAGCGATTCTGCAGGGCACTGGCCCTCACTGCTCTGACTCCAGCCAGGGGTTTCCTAAGCATCCCCAGGGCTCGGCTTACAACGCCTTTACCTCTCTGAAGGACTTCCGGCGAAATGAATGAGCCTCAGATACCAGGATGGCTGCAGCGCTGACCCGAGGATCCGGAGAGAGGTTATAGAGGGCCAGTCAGCAAAGCTGAGAAGGGCAGAGGGATGCTGCCTGAAGGGCAGATTCCAAGCAGCCCAGCAGAGGCAGGGCAGGAAGACGGAGCTCCCTAAAGGAACACAGAAAAGCTTCCTAAAGGAACACAGGAAACCAAGTCAACGCAGCAGAGGCAGGGCAAGGGCCTCCTGAGGAGGCGCAGATGACAGCTGTGGAGGGTGCTGGGAGAGGAGCTTGTTCAGCTGCAGCTCCTAAGGAGGCATCTGCACATGAGAGCACGGACATGAGCACCGCACACTGAAGGAGCAGGGGTGCCCTGTTACCTGAGGGCGGACTCCCAGGGGGGCCGCATGAATCCAGGAGAGGACAGCCCCACACACTCCTCAGCAAAGAGCTCCTTGGGCGCTTGGCCTCTGAGAATGAATGATCTGAGCTAAGTGGAGAGTCAGGGACGTTTCTGTAATGCACTTGGGATGAGAGGGTGGAGGGTGAAAGGAGACAAGTGAGAATTAGTAAAGGAAGAGGAAGGACAAGGCCGGGAAAAGAGAACATCCCAAGGGATGATTCAAAGAGTTGCTGAGGTCCAACCGCTTCTGCACATCCCTGGCGCAGGTGGCACCATCAGAAAGCAAGGCTCCGTCATGCCCAGCTCCTCCGCTGGCTCTCGTACGTGTCATCTGAACCCCTGACTTCTGGCCCACCCCATCCTCCAGCCAGGAGACAGCTTCTGCTTCTACCCCATTGCTACGCAGAGTACTCAGGCGGAGGCTAAGGGAGAAGGAATCAGGGGGAAAGGATGGCGGAGAGAAGGGAGAAAGTAAAGCCTGTTGGAATCAGACAGAGAGGAAAACCTACCCGGGAGAGTGGAAATCAGAGAAACAAGCAAATGGTGGGAGATTAAAGGAAAGGAAAGGGGTGGAGTCAGAGAGCAAAGGGCTGAGAAGAATCCAAGGAAGCACAGGCTGAGACGAAACAAAAGGCTGAGCTAAACAGCAATAAAAAGAGCAATGACAGATGAGAAGAGGAAAGAGATTAGCAACAAGGACAGGGGCTGGCCTGCCCAAACGGGGATGTCTGAACTGTCTCCTATGGGGGCCTGAATTTGTGCGATGCTGCTCAAAAAGGTGCCGGGGCAGTTGAGTGAAGGATGCTGGGGTCCCCATGACAGCCGGGCTGCAGGTCGCTCCCAGGAAGCTCAGCACTCACGCCCCTCCCCTCCTCTGAGGCCACAGGCCAGGAAACCTCCTAGAAGGTAAGGGGCTGGCTCAGAGATAGAAGTAGAGTCTGGCTTCCCTCCCACCCCAAGATACCTCAGCCCATAACTCCTCTCCACAACTCAGCACAGCCCACCAAATTCTGCCTTGTTTGTGGTGCTGGGCAGGTGGTGGCCAAGGCTTGCAGATCAACAGCACCCAGGACGGGCTGGTCACTGGGCAGCAGGATGTTGGCAGCCGCAGGGCTCGTGAGCACATGCCTGACTTGGAAGAAACGCCCAGCGCCAAGTAGGAAAACACACACCAGCCCACACAATTGATCTGCAACCCTGTCCCTACATTAAACCCACGCCTCTCCCCTCCAGCCCATCCCCTGGCCAGAGTGCCCTCCTCAACCCTGTCCTTCACAGCCACAGCTACTCCATGCCCACGTCTCCTCCTGGAGCAGAACCTGGTGTGTCCAGGGAGGGGGCAAAGACGGCTTTTCCAGGATTCATCAGAGTTAGGTGTGAGGAGGGCAGGCTCAGAGGGTCATCTGAGGTCAGCCCCTCCACTGTGAAGTCCCCAAAGGGCAGAACACACGGCGGGGGCCAGCTGAGAGCTCAGACAGCTGCTCTGCAGGGGAAAACGTCCAAATCCCACCACCCAGTTTGTGTGGCTGAGAGGCTGTGGCCTCCGCCAGGCCTGCTTACCCCACAGCAGTTTCTAGGCATGCAGCAGCTGCACAGGGCACCCCCAGGATGACCTAGACAGTGGCCCCACGCCACGCCTTCACCACAGCCCCAAGCACCAGGAGGCCTTGTAGGAAGGGCATGCTTTGCAGCTGTTGAAGGGGTCCTTGGGACAGGGGTCAAAGCCCATCACATGGGTTGACTCTTCTATCAATGGGGGAAAGTTTTCCGGCTGGATTTGCCCCGAAATGTTAAGGGAAGAAAACGAAGTTCAGACCCCCAGGCTGCCCCAGCACCAGAATTCTGTCAGGCTCTGGAATGGCCACTCACTCCCTGATGTCTCCTCCTTTAGGGTTGATAGACCCTTATCTAAGCGCCTCGGTGAGGCAGTGGATACAGCTGACCACGCCTCCTCGGTCCCCTGAATGCAATCCTCCCTCTTCAAGGCTGCCTTGTCCTGCTGCAGAAAATAACCGCTGCAGCTGGTTTAGGAGTAAAGGGGCTGCTAAGGAAAGAAGCCCACAGGAAAGCCCAATC